GTGCGTGCGTGCGTGCGTGCGTGCTTGCGTGCGTGCGTGCGTGCGTGCGTGCGTGCGTGCGTGCGTGCGTGCGTGCGTGCGTGCGTGCGTGCGTGCGTGCGTGCGTGTGTGTGTGTGTGTGTGTGTGTGTGTGTGTGTGTGTGGGGGCGTCTGTTGCGTGTGTTTGTTTGTGTTGCACGATGCAAGCCTCACACACACACTGCTTACATGCCGCAAATAGACATGCCTTCAAAATCAATGGTGTTGAATTTGTTTCGCAGAGGTGGTACGGGCCGTGCCGAACAAACAGAATTACACCAGCATAGGCCCCAGATAGCGAAACACGCGCCGACGACTGCATGCCAGCACCTCTGACAGCACTGTCCGAAGAACACCCTTCACCCAACACCAAACAGCATCCAAGAACAGCACCTGTGCAAGAATCCCCAAATTGCCTGCCTCCTACCGTCAATCTCGCAAAAACGCGCGCCAGCACCCGAAACTGCATGCCCTACTAGATAGCTATCTAATCCGCTCCCCCTATTATTAAATACGCCCCCCCCCTATTATAAATAAATCCACCCAAATATATATATATATATATATATATATATATTTAATTGGGGTTTTTGGGGTTGGTTTTTTTGGCTTTTCCAACAATGTGAGGGTTCACATAGGATTTGGAGGAAATGGATTGAATTGTAAGGTCCGCGAGTAAGCGGTTTAATAAGGAAATTTGATGTATCATTCTATTTGTTTACCAGTTTACTGGTTGTTTGTTTGCAGCCAGGCAGGTTAATTAGCCAGCATGTACGGGAGAGAGACAGTGGCAGCTAGACAGCTTTTGGCAGCGAGTCAGGGACAGCCAGGGACAACAGAGTCAAGAACAACCTTTTGGGGAACGCACCAAAAGAACCCAACCTTTTGAGAAGCCAGCTTTTGGGGAAGCAACCTTTTGGGGAATTGAGGAACCCACCTTTTGAAAAGTGAGGCCGGAAGCTTGCTAAAAGTGCCCCCTAATAAGGATTCCAAGACTTTAGTATTGGTTTAGTATTGGCGCAATGGACAATCAATTGTGCGGAGTGGAAATCTGGTCTCGGGCCCCGGATTTGCATTTATTATTGATGGGGGTCATTCATTAATAGGGGGAGGAGATTAGTAGCACTCTGCCATCAATCGCAAAAGTGCCCGCGCCAGCACCCCGAACAGAACCCCCAAACAGCATTCCCAGTGCTGAGCACCCCCGTCAATCACCAGCACCTCAATCAGCACCCGAAACAGCATCCAAAAGCAGCACCTGCGCCAGCACCCTAGGCTGCATGCCGCCTTGCACCCTGCCGTCAATCTGGCATAAGTGCGCCAGCGCCGTCACCAGCACCTCAAACCGCGCCCCAAACAGCACCCCAAAACAGCACCTGCACCAGCGCTCAAAATGCATACCCTCGCACCCTGCCGTCAATCTTCCAAAATGCTCCTGCACCACCACCAGCACCCCAAACAGCGCCTACACCAGCCTCCAAAATGCACGCCCCCCGGTCAATCTCGCAAATGACTTGCCGCTCGCAACCGTTGCCACAAATCCCCGCCTGCCACGGGAAGGGTAGTCATAATTGATGACGTAGAGGCAGGTGGTGAAGTCCACGCCGCGGCCGAGAAGGTCTGTGGTGACCAGAACCCGCGGCTCCATGCACGCCTCGTCCAGAAAAAGCCGAAGACGATCCTCCCTCAGCTCGTGTTTGTCGTTCCCGCTGAGATAGGTAGCATGCACCTGAGCACGACACCTCAGACAGCGGTCTCCGGAAGCATGGAAAGAGCTTGAAGGTGGTTGGGTGTTTCAGGGGAGGCTTCCCATTTGCCCGCAAAGAACAAGGGGTTCAAATGCGGCTCAAAATCTGCGAGATGTCCAGACCGTACTTGTCCAGGGCAACCAACCCATTTCAGGCACCTATTTTGACATAAATATATCGTGACCAATAATCATTATTACTCCCAACGCCTAAAAATTTGAAACATCCCCTTAAACTTGCTCCCTTGAGCTCCTATTTTCATGGTTGGACCTCCACCAAGAGTGTTCCCCTCTATGCATCAACGGGCCATGGATCGATGGGCCAAGGCACAGCATCTCGGCGATCTGCTGGGGCTTGTCCCTGGGATCCGTCTCGCTTTCTCTTCTCAGACTCATGTGGCCATGGGCTTTTCAAAACCCAATCG